CTTTTTTAAAAAAAGAGCGGCGTTCTGTGAAGCCTGTATAGTGGCTGCTGGGTTCATTGTCTGCTCTCCTTTGTACCTCTCACCCTTTCAGTCACAGGCAAGGCTTATGGTTTTTATCGCTGTGTCACCTCAGCCACTATCACCCATTGTAGTCCCCTTGGAGCAGCTTCCATCACTTCTACCACCATCACCTCAGCTCCATCTCCTCAGTCAGTTGCAGTCCCCTCAGCAGCAGCCGTGGCCACTTCCCATCAGCGTGGTCACCTCATCAGCGGTCACTGTTGTCTTTGATGTCCTGCATCCCAACTGCAGCCACTGTTGGTGGGCAGTTGAGTATCAGGCACTCTTTCAACATGTCCAATGTGGTGTCACGGAAGTGACACATTCATCCAAGGAGGGCAGATTGTTGTGCAGCATCAAGGCTGAGGAGAATGGAGGGGGAGTGTTGAGAATGGTGATATCAGGAGATGAGCATTGATGCTGAAACAGTGGAGCATGTCACAACCCTGATTATCCCAAGGAGGCCAAACATGCCTCAGGAGGAGGGTCGAGGGGACGAGGGGACGAGGGGATGAAGTAGCAGGAATGGGGGCGAAGAATCAGAACACCGTGGTGAGGAAGCAGATCTGGCTTGGAGCCCTCCCTTCTGCCTCTGATGGCTTTCACTTTGTAACTCAGGACTTTGTGTTTGCAATTGTGTGCACTGACTTTGTTGATGAAGATGAAGATTCCAGCCTTGCCTTGGTGGCAGAGCGTCCAGTTAATGCCACATGTCATGAGCTAAATCATATTCTGCCCATATGTTGAAGCTCTAAACCCCTGGTACCTCAGAATGTGACCTTATTTGAAGAGAAGGTCTTTATAGAGGTTATCAGTTAAAATGAGGTCACTAGGGTGGGTACTAACCCAATTAAACTGATATTCTTATAAAAGGGGGAAATTTGGAGACAGGCAGGAATGCAGGGAGAATGCCAGGTAAGTGTGAAGTCAGAGATTGGGGTCATGCCTCTGCAAGCCCGGGAAAAACAAGGATTGCCAGCAAGCCCCCAAAGCTAGGAGAGAGGCATGGAATAGGTTCTTCTTCACAGCCTTCAGAAGAAAACAAGCTTGTCAACAACTTAATCTTGGGTGTCTAGCCTGCAGAACTGTGAGACAATAAATTTCTGTGGCTTAAGCCATCCAGTTTGTGGTGCTTTGTTACAGCAACCCTAGCAAACTAATACATAATCCAATTCCTTCACACAGAATGTGCCCCAATAAAACACACATTCTATAAGGAAATTATTGATTTTGAAAAAAGAGTGTGCTGTCTCTATCCAACCCTGTTAGATAAGAGGTATGAAGTCTTCATTGCAATGTAAAAGCCTGCAGAAGATGACTAAAAAGCAACCAAGGGATGAAAGAGAAGACAAAGCTTGAGAAGAAAGTGTGAAGAAGATGAGCTCAGAGCAGCGGTTCTCAGCCTTGGTTGGACATTAGATTCATGTGGGAAGGTGGGTGATGGGTTGGGCTTTCATAAATCAAGATGCCCGTGTAACATCCTACACCAATTACATGAGAACATTGGAATGTGGGACCCAGACATGAGTACTTTGTAAAGTTCTCTCAGAGATTCCAGTGTGCAGCCAAGGATGAGAACTATTGCTTAGAGAGTTCCTCGTTTTTGGTGAACTCTGTTTAAAAATGTTAACTTGGTTCTGAAACATGTTGAAAATGTTCTAGAGCTCCTGAATATTCCAGACTCAAGTTTCCAGATGATGGTGAGCCTATGAGCTTCACGGTGGGATTTATTCCTGAACCTAATGGCACTTCACAATTGAGGTGTTGACGTAGAAAATGAAGTTGCCCCCAGATAATCTGAGTCCCCTTTTCTCCAGTGAGGCAGACATGACAGGCACACATGGGGGTCAGGACACACAGGAGAAAAGGCAAGAATGGCACTCTGAGAAGTGTAACGGACGTGGAAATGTCGGGAAAGTCAGCTTCCTTTGTGCTTTCTTCAATTATTCTTGAGAGTGGAGACTTGGGAGATTCCATCGAAGCTGTCTTTGCTGCAGATTACAAATCAGGGCTCTTTCTCCATGACTGTATCATCCTACAGTCTATATCTATGTTGCAGGGAAGATAACTGTGATACAGAAACTCAAGACACTGGTGGTGACAAAGTGGAAAGTGGAAAGAGATTAAAAAAAAAATGTGGGACCAGAAAAGGCACAAAACATGTATCCATACCCAGCAGAGCACAAGTCACAGTGAACATGTGTATACAGAGCATGTGTCTATCCTTGAGAAAAACCTGGAATATAAGAGCCTGAAATATAAGTCTCCATGACTTAAAACCTATGTGTTAGATTTTTCTTGTTTTAGGAAAGAAAGAATTTTGTTTTAAAAAAAGAAGAAATAAAAAGAAAACAAAACCCAGAGCAAGCCAGTTTATCCCACTTAGAATTGGGACCACCCGGTATTTAGGAAGCAGTCAGTTCTGCAACGTGTGTTCATTGTCATTATGATTTCATCTTATAAGGTTTTTTGTCATGTAGGAACAGGCTAAAGTTGTGACATTTATCAGAATTGTCATCTGAGATCACTATTTATTTAGAAAAGTGTTTCTGAAGAATCAAAGAAAATGTTTTATAGGTCAGTTTCTCTTTGGAAACTTTTTCAGTTTTTTTTATCAGTTTGCTTTGTCAGTTTTTCATGGAAACACCATCTCTGTTCAGGTAGGAGACATGCTTATTTGATTTTGAAGAATTCTCAAGTAATAGAAGTTTAAAATATCTAGTTGGACCACATTTCATATCTATAACATTAGCTACATGGTGATTTATATGTCAGTCAAAGGAAATATTGTTAAATCAAACTCATCTTTTTGTCACTAGAGGGTTAAATATTTAGCTTTTTTTTTATTATTAAGAAAGATACAGTGCAATCCCTTTATACAGTCAGTCTGGGAAACAGGGTTAATGTCTATTTTACATTTTGTGCAAGGGTGTGGTAGATGGCTGGCTTGGTGGGGCCATGTAACAATGGCCACCATATACACAACAATAATATCTACCTAGAGGCACAGGCCTGAAGTTAAAGCTAATCCCAGAAATTATAATAAAAGTCTAAGACACCTTAGGGAAAAAGAGTACTCACCTGTCCCGTGTGGCTTTTTAAGGACACTGAGACAGAGAACATGAGAACCAGATGGCTTGAGTTCTTATCCTACAGCTTCATTCTCTCACCAGCTGACCTTGGGCAGGAGAGTCCATTTCTCCATGTCTCAGTTTCCCCATGCATGAAGTGGAGCTAAGACTTAGTGTTCTGCTTACTCACCAAAACATTAAGAGAATTAAAATGCAATAATGAATGTGAAACACTCAGAGAGATAATTAAGTACTAGGCAAATATAAGGAGTTACATGACTATTATTTTACTTTATTCCACTTATTGAGACTTATTTAAACTAAATTCTATAGTCTCCTCTAGACAGAGAGGGGAGTTCGAAAGAGACTGAGTTACAGAAAAACAAAATAGATCCATTTTTGGCCTGTGAAATATTATACCAGCTTTGGTCACTTTGTCTATGTAGTAATCTCTCTCCCTTTATACCTACTTTTTTCCTGCCTTATTTCAATTTGACTGAATTTATTCTATGATTTATGACATTGAGACTGTTAGAAAAACTCAAAATCTCTGTTACAAGTACATCTATTGAGAAAGAGTAATCTTGTTTTTAAAATGTACAGATCTTATATAGATACCTAATTTTATTGAATCCTCCCAATAACCCTCTAAAGTAAGCAGGGCAGATAGTATTATCTCACTTTTTTAGATGAAGGAAATAAGGCTTTGTGAAGCTAAGTATATTACCCTAAATCACAGTGGAGAAAACAAGACCCAGGGCCTATGAACCCAAGTCACAGCTCACCTCCCTCCTATCCATCTTTCAATGCCCATCCCTGCATGGAAAGATCCTATTTTTCCATCATGAGCAGACATGGACTTGCCTGATCTTGGATATCCTGTACACAAGAGAAGCCCAAAAGCCATTTCTGCAGGACACAGAGACCAACACATTGGATTTACCCAACTTGCAGAATGGTCTTAATAAGTAAGATCGGAGTGAGTATTCTGCTGGAAAAATACTTCCTTCAAACTCCTTCTCACAACCCGGGGCCCCTGAGTCTATAAAACCTTCCTATCCTTTCCACTGTTTCATCCAAAGTGATATAGAGTTAGACACTTCTGGTGTGTCCTCTATCAGAAGGCTGTTATATCCTTTGAAATTATAGGATAGTTTGTTAAACCAATGACTTAAGTAGAGAGAAAATATCTGTTAGGAAAACAATAATTGGAAGAACATCAGATATCAATGAGTACTTCAAAGTTTCATTCAACAAATATTTAAGTACAAGGCATTACGCTAAGTAAGCAATATTGTAAGTAGGGCTATGAATGCTATAAAGAGAAGTCCTTCCTTCAAAGAGTTTGCTAGCTAGCAGGGGAAATAAGATGAAACCCTAGTAACTACACTTAAAGCAGAATGTACTGAGTGTTATAAGAGAGGTAGCAAGTGGGTGCTGTGGGAATTAGAGAGTGTAGTTGGGGAATAAGGGAAAACTTCAAGAAAGGAGGAGAGGCAAGTATAGGCATTGAAAGATCAGTAGATTTCAGCAGCTTCTTCCTAGGAAGTGCCACATGCTAAAGGAAATGGTGCCTTCTGTGAAATCTAGAGCGCTCGATGGCCTCTTTCCCCACCTCAGGAGGTAGAGAGTCCCACCTGTCTAGCCAGCTACCAACATACAATTTCTCTCTTCATCTCTCTAAATGCCTCTAGTAGGTAGAATCACCTTTCCCCCTAGCAAATACACACAACATGCCAAAGCAAATGAGTTGTCCCCTGCTCTGAGTGCCTGCCAATCCACGCCTGAAAAGAGCATCAAGTTGCATGCCACCCCCTAAAAGGGGAGCCTGCAGAGTGTATAAAGCTGAAACCCCATGTTCTCCAGTAGCTGGAAGCCTTCCCAGCATGGGCCGCCCAGCCTTCCTGCTCTGCCTGCTACTCTTCCATGTGGCCATTCGACAGGAAGCAGGTACGCTGATACCCCAGGGGCTGTTTCGTTCACGCCTTGTTCTGAATGTGGAAGAGAAAGTATGGATATTTGCAGGTAGTCCACCAACACACTATTGGAAAGCTTAAAATGAAATCCAGACAAAGAGAGCTTTTACTGTGTTTAATGCAATCCAACCACTGATGCGATTGATTTAGGGAAGTTTGGTCAGATATTTTCTGTCAGATTTATTTTCTGGAAACAAGGCACCAGACAATTTATTGCTCTTTAAAAGCATGGCTCTGTTTCTAGGATTCTGGAGAGAGATGGACAAAGAGGGAATACTTGGCTGTAGGCTAATTAAATAAGGGCTTTGAAAATGTTCTTTGGCCTATATGTTGATATTTTAGCTCTAGAGGTATGGAATTACTGTCATGACTTCTTTACTGTTGCTGAGTGGAGTTGAAAGATGTACTGTAAAAAAATATCTTCGTCTGAAAATTTGACATGACATAAAATTATCTGGACTTGATTCATGAGGTCTTTTAATCTGAAAATCTCTACCTTTCTATTTTAAAAAAATTATCAATTTCATATTCTTAGTCTTAATCTGTACTCCATATCTTAAGGAAATTTTAATTTAACTTGGAACTAAATTAACTAAAACTATCTACATAATTTTAATTATTTTTATTGCTATTTTGTGGTTTTAGGGGAAATATTAAAGTTCTCTGTTAGGTTTCCTACTTATATTAACAAATGATAATTTGGAAATACTCTTGATCAACAAATATCTTCAATATAATGTTTATCACTATAAAGGAAAATCTAATTCATCACTCAGAATAATGTTTGATTGTAAAGTTTATACTCAAACTCATTTTCTATTCTGCAACTAATTTAATAGATACATTTATGTCAGTTACTCAAACATTATTAAAACATACTAGGGTATTAAGGATTTAAGTGATTTCTTGAATCCTTTGGGATTCGGGGCATTGTTTTTCATTTATATGCCTATGTTTTTCATTTATATGTATGAGTTTGTGAACATAGCTTTAGGGCCAGAAAGATCTGCATAATTCAAGCCCTAATTACATATTTTGTGACCGTGTGAATTTGGGTGAGTTTTTTAATCTCTCCTGGTGTTGTTTCCTCTCACATATAAAAAGGATAATTCATTGGTTTATTGGGGAGATTTAATGAAATAATGTTTGTAAATTACTTAGAAGAATGCTTCAGGCCTAGAATAATGCTAAATCAATGTTAACTGCTATTGTAGATGCTGTAAATTCTAAACTGTGTATTTTAAACAGAGAAGAGATGAAAATATGGGTTATCAGATTTGGATTACAACATTTTACCTAGTGTTTCCATTCCCCCAAGAAGCCAAGATATTTTCCCCTTTCAATATTTCAGTGGTAGGTTTCAAGTAATAGATTTAGTATTTTTACCATGTATAGCAGGAAAGGAGTTCTTTTTTCCCATACTGTGAAAACAGGTTCTCTGAAGAATTATGAACTATACCAAGGTATGTGGGAAATGGATGGGGTTTTCTGAAGTATAGCATTTTTCAAATTTTGAGAGAATTCAAAATTAAAATTCATCATGTTTGTTCCAATGTGGCAAAGATGACACTGACTTTGATGGTGCTGAAAGTAGCAAAGTGTGGGCTTTGGAAATGTAGTTACAGGCATGGTTGAAGTGACCCCTGGAACAATCTGGAATGAATCTCAAGGAGCTCTGCCCCCAGGGTCTTATTTGAAGTACATTTTTACTCTTGGGAGGTAGAATGGACTAGGACTATGATTTGAACTGTTTGGAATCAAGTGCCTAAAGGATTTAGGATAGATGCAAGATGGGGGAAATGAAGAGAAAGCCCCCCAGTTTTGTATAAATGAGTTTAATGATTTCTGGAAACTGGAAAAAAAAAGCCACCTTAAAACCCAGTGACTCTCTTAAGTCTATACCTTGATAACTACTTGACAATGTGGTGGAAACAGCAGAGTGGGTTCCTGGAACAAAGATTAACCTCACTTCTGGCTATCACACTGAAAAAACCAAGTCCCAGTGGCTAAATCAGCCAAAATGAGGGCTATTTATTACACTGAATTTGGCATGTTGATAATCTAGTTACAACAATATTCAGCTCTCTTCTTCTTCTGCTTTATCCTGCTTTCCTTGAAATTTGCCAAATTACTGCCAAATACTTGCCACACTGAGGGCACACAGTTACGCTTGTGGACCCATTTCCTAGCACAGCTCTGGGCACAGTAGAGGACATTCCATAAATAGTCTGAACAAATGAATGAAAAACAATGAGCAAGGCTATCACACCATTGAAGTCTGCTTACTGGATCCTCTCAAAATAAAGACAACAGGATGATGGGGTTGTTCCCTCCTGAGTTCCTTAAATCTAAGGATATTAGAGAGGTGCAGTAGATCTTATAGACACGATTTGCAAGTATCAGCTATCACTGGGGCCATTTTCTCAAGGACTGTCTGTCTCCCCTTTTATATTTGCCCCTTCTCCAATCCTTTTGTTCACACTGTACTCTCTCCTCCCCCGCCCCTCTATGTGTACATCACTCTACAGTTATAGGAGCGTATTCTTGAGCTTCCAGGAGTGTATGGATTAGTAATATGATATGCGCTCATACTCATAGGTGTTTATAGGCAACTCATGCCAATTGCACAAGAGTCTTACAGACAATGGGGCCAGTGAGGCCTTCCGGGAACAATCAGCCAGAAATGCAACCACAGTTCAGTGCAAGTATCACTCGTATCAGGGGGATTTGGGGCTTCACAGACCACTGAAACTTGGTTAATAGGGCAATTCACCTGGAAAATGTGAGGACAAGGGGCAACTTGTTGACCACTGGAAAAGGAAGAGCTATTTCTGGAAATGTGATTATTCCCTGGTGTAGAGTTTATCTGATCAACACAATCCAAGTTAAATAGTTAAAATAGCCTCTAAAAACCACATTGTGATCAAGTTACAATCTGTTCAGCTGTGGTGCCACACCTGACCACAACCTTCCCTCCTTCCCACACACCCACAGACCCTGCCCGGTGCACTCAGCCCTGGCTCTGTGGTTCCTCAGGCCCTGGGCTTCCATCCCTGGCACCTCAGTCAGGAGGGAAGTTCAAGGTGTCAGATCTCAGCTGGGTCCACACAGCTGCCACAGCTGTCCACTCCCTCATTCACCTCTGGTCAGACTTTCAGCAGGTATCACTCTGCCTTATGCAGCTTATAAGGCTGAGGGCCAACCTTCTCTTCTCTCTCTCTCTCTCTCTCCATTGTCTTACATTTTATTCTTCCCCTTTTTTTATACCTGGAGCTGCCATCACAGGCCAAGCCTACAACACCTTCTGGTTAATTCAACAGAGTCATCTGCACCCCACTTTTCTCCCTACCTTTGTCTCTCACTCACCTCTAGCTGCCTCTGCACTGTGCTGTTATGTTCCTTCTCTAAGCAAGAACCCAAAATGGAGCCTCCATGGTCACTTAAAATGCCCATACTTCTCTTCCTCGCATTCAAACCCCTAAAAAAATCAGGCTTTCCTCTTTACCCCTCCTTATGCCCACTCTACTTCCATCACAGAGCCACTGCTCTAGTTCAGATGGATACTAGATGGATACTTATTGATCCCTATATAAAAGGTCTCATTCCTATTTATCTACTTCCTCTAAATTTAGCCAACCCATTCTTCAAGTTCCATCTGACATCCTACACCATTAATTCATTTGCCAGTCATTTAGTGAGTGCCTCGTAGGTCCCAGGCACTGCAGGGAGGATGGTTCCTTCCATCCAGGACCCTCCAATCTGATTGGTAAGACAAGACAGGAACAGAGGTAGCTCCAAGTCCATGGCTATCCGATGAGTTACTGAGACACTATCCTTTGCCATTTGGTCCTTAGGTGCTCAGTGATATTTGCTAAACTTGAATAAACTGAGCAAGAGGACTTTGGTTGGTCAGGCTTCCAAGTTGGGGGAATTAGGAAACACTTTATAAAGACTTCCCATTTGGGATTGGTCTTGCCTAAATGGCTAGGATGCCATGTTGATATGAGGGATTATGACATTCCAAGGAATTTCAATAACCCGAGAAAAGTCATAGAGGTGGGCAGCGTGAAGCTTCCTTCTGGGGCAGAGAAAACAATATGTAAATGGGAGAGAAGCTGAAAAGGTAGCTGTGATTCTGATTATGAAGGGATTTAAAATTGAGGCTAAAAACTTTGGGCTTTATTCAATAAGTGACGAAGTATCATAATAGGGAATGACACTAAAGTGGCTTTTTCAGATGAGTGCACAGATGACATGGCCTAACGTGAGGAGACATTGAATTAGAAAAACTGGTTTAAAAAAAAAGATCATGGAGTCCATACAAAGTTAAAAAAAAATGAAAACCCTAATTCAAGGTGGCCCCGGTGGGTTTGGATAGCAGCAGTAGAGGTGATGCTTTGGAGAGATGACTGCAATCCATTCACCTTGCAGGACCTGCCAAGCACGTGGCGCAGGGCTTCTCTGATACTATAATGAGACAATGAGTGCGAAAGTGCTTTGCAAAGTGTAAGCTCTGTGCAGACATGGGATTATTGCTTATGTAAAAGAATAAGTAGAAGTGGCATTATAAAAGGAAGAATTACCTGACCTGGTGGTGGGACATTTGAGGTGTGGGAGGAAAAGAAGAATTAAAGAAAAGAAGCAGAAATGCCAGGAACATGAGGGGCTAGATAATTTATGGACTAAATGTCTAGACTCTGGAAGCAAATCCCAGCATTGCCTCTTATTAGCTATGTGGTCTGGGAAAGTTACTTGGCTTCTTTGTACCTCAACTTCCTAATCTATTAAATGGAAATGAAAACAATATAGAGTAGCTTTCAAGTCAAATCAAGGCAATTAAGATATGGAAAGTCCTTAGACTCGTGACAGCCACACAGTAGGCATTGAATGAGGGTTAACTATTATTATTATTAACAACACCAACTTTGTTGGCTTCCAGAAGTGTCCCCTCCCCACACAGAGACCTCTCCTTGGTCTTGCAGCCTAGCACACATCTAGTCACAGACTACATCCTGTCTGCTCTAGTGTTCAACTGGTATAGTTGACATAGATTTTTGTTTTCCAGCTCTAAGTACCAGGCTCTGTATGTCTCTCATAAGTCCCCAAGACCTTATCCAATGACAAGACCCAGTAGGTCCTCCCCAACAGACCCGACAGGTCTAAATGAACTACTGTAAATATACTGAGACCCAACAGCATCACAGGCCTGTGTCCTGGGTGCTTTGTCTACTGAGTAAGTTGTCACTTCATAATGGCTGAAAGAAACAGGTAGGAGCCAAAGGCAGAGAGTCTCAAGGTACAAAATCTGCCAGAGAGATATTCCTTGTTTGTTTGCTCAAAGACAATGGTTACATCCAAGTGATTGTACTTAACCAGAAAGAGCTGGGAACCAGGGAAAAAGGACAGCTGTGTTTATAAGGAGTAGCACAAACATCTCACCCCTCACCAAAACTACCTTTACCAGACAAATCCAAACCTGTAAAATAACGTTAATTAACCCCCAAAGGATAAGTCTATTACAAAAATAAAATTAGAAAAATAAATTTAAAGCAAAAGAAGAGAAATTTTTTCATAAAAAGACCAACTCGGGATATATTGGAAAACGTTAAATTAAAACTAAAAAGCATGGTCAGGGCCGGCCCAGTGGCGCAATGGTTAAGAACTGGCTTGGGACGCCAGAGGGCCCCCGTTCGGATCCCACATATGAAGGCCAGTGACACTGCCCTCCACAGCTAAGATGCTGAACAACAGCTCAACCTGGAGCTGGGCTGCCGTGAGTCGCCGGCGATGGTGTATGCTGCAGCCCCTGTGCTACCGTGTGTAGCCAGCAGTCAGCGTGAGTAGCCAGCAGCCGCCGTGAGCGGCCGTCCAGAAGCCGGCGACTGATCTGCCTCGCCCAGGAAGAGCGCAATGATGGTGCCAATTTGGGCCAGTGAAACAACGTCCTCCACAACTAGACTGAAGAACAAAACGACAGCCACTTGTCTGTTCCCCTTCCCCCAATTCCCCAGCGCTGTTCCCATCCCCCCAATTCCCCAATAAAAATCTTTTTTTAAAAAATGCATGGTCAAATTTATGTGCAAACTGTAGCTCAATTAAAAAAAATGCTTCATAAATACGCAACTACAATATTGCCACAGGGACATGAAAGACAGTTCGAGGAATATAATTAATAATGTTGTAAATATTTTGTAGGGTGTCAGGTGGTCACATATCTTGCTAGGGAGACCGCATCATGGATGGGGAAGAGGCTTGATCACTGCACTGTACACCTGAAGCTGATGTTGTATAATACTGTATGTCAACTATAAGTGAATATATATATATATATATATATATATATTTATACACACACACACACACATATATATATATATATATAGTCATGGGATGTGGAGTATAGTGTGGGAGTGGAGTCAAGGGATTTGTAATAAATATGTATGATATTGGGGGAAGTGGGGGCGGCGGATTGGGGGAGGGGGGTTGTCACTTTGAGGGGTAAAAAGCATAACAATTGCACTGTGTTGTACAGCTGAAACTAATTCTAAAAAATATGTATTTCATAATAAAAAATTTTTTTAATGCTTCAGAATTAAGTACAGATAGGTAAGATACGTAATAAAATAGACTGGCTGACAAAAAGCTGGAGTAACTGGTACAAACATTTATCTGATCAAAAGGAAGACCCAGTACATTCCAAAGCAAGAGCTTAAAGAAAGACGATTCCAGAAATGGGTTCCCAAACTTAGCTGCACGACAAAATAATCACTTGGATTATTAAAAATTCAGATTTCCAGGCCTCACTCCACTGAGCCTGTGAGTCAATGGGGCATAGTAGGGCCCAGGAAGCTGCTTTCTGAGACCAGGTCATGTTCTCCCTGTTCTGAGCACCCAGGTTCTAACATGGCTGATGTGTCTCAGTTTGTTCCAGGAGGGACATCAGAAGACACAGAGAACGGCCATGGAAGAGAAGCACCCTGCCGGGCACACCTGTGGAGCAGCGAGACAGTGAGTCAGAACCTGACAACCCCTTGGTCTGAGGGACAAGGGCCCGAGGGTGGCACCTGTGGGGCAGAAATGCTAAGAAGCTGTGAAGGTCCCTGGGGATGGACGGTCCCCACCCAGCAGGGCAAGTCCCTCATCCCTAGAATAAAGACTCCTCATTTTTATTTCTGCTTAACAAGACAGGGATGTCCTCAGATCTTTATCTAACTTCATGGTTCTTATACATTATAGACTGATTTAAGGGTCTCTATTCCAAGGGCTCTTAAATCTTGGGGTATATAATCATCCCCCCAAGAGCTTGTTGACCATGCAAAACCCCAGGTCCCACTCCCAGACATGGCGAGAGCTCCAGGAATCTGCATTTTTAGCACACCTCCCCAGAGATTCGAATGATGTGCGTTGTGTGTGGGCCACACTTTGAGAAGTGCTGCTCTGTAGCCACTGAGAAGAAAAAGTCAGGGGACCAACCTGCGGAGGGCTCTCGTCAGCAGCTAATGGTGGGGATTCGTATCAGTCTCTTCATCTCTCTAATTACTCATCAGTAAAGTGGAGATAATAAAAACCGCCAGCTGCTAAGTGCTGCTTCCGTGCCAGCCCCTGTATATGTACTCGATTCATTAATCACCTTTGAGGCAGCACTGTTATCACTGTCCCCACTTTACAGATGAGGAAAGGGAGAGGTGAAGGGGCCCACACAAATCACATAGCAAGTGAGTGGCAGAGCTGAGACGCAAACCCAGAGTTGGCTGTGGTGACCACTCTCTGGTGGTTGTGAGCCTTAAAAAGATGTTCGTTGTACAGCGTTTAGCACAGTGTCTGAAACACAGATGGAGTCCAATAAACAGTAGTGATTATCTCGATGGTGGTGGTAGTGGGAAAGATGACAACTCCATTCACCAACACTTTGATGGGGGTTAGGAGCCGGCTGCCTTTCTCCCAAAGACTGGCTTGCTGTGCAGCTCATGGAAGGTTCTGGAAGGTATTCTGGCAGTGTAGAGGTATATTAATCAGTTCCTGAGTTTCTCAAACAAATGCCCCAAATAGCACAGCCCAGGGTCCCCGCCCCAAGCAGAGACTCTCTTTGAAATCCTTTTATCTTAAAAAGTAACCTGAAGTTTTACTTCGAAGTTATACTAAAACCTATTTATCTCAGTATGAAAACAGTGTATTAAATACTCCACACCCGGTGTCATTGATCCCTTAGGAAGATGTACTTGTTTAGCCTGTGAGTATCTCCAACCCCAATCTCAGGCTGAGAAATTTAGAAAAACCAACCCTAGTTGAATGTACTCAGCTCTTCCCGAGAAGGGAGTTTAGGCTAAGATTTTTATATTTCAATGGATATTGAAAATAATCAAAAGATCTTTCCTTCCAAGATTTCTTTTTGGAATAACCACATAGAAGATTAATTCCAGGCTGAACTTTTTTACTGAGGTCCTAGCAATGGGACAACAGCTGACCCTCCAGCCAGTGTAGGGCATCCCATAATTTTTATCATCTCTAGAAGACTCAAGCTACGTTCAACTTCCTTTTCTTTTTTCTGGAATATGAAACTTCAGGAGCTTTTGGTAAGTATCACACTTCAGTATATCTTTAAAAGAATAGCCATAAATGCCCCCAATCCTCTGATTGCATTTACCAACATAACCCACTGCAGTAGCTGGGGAGAGCCAAAGACAAACAGTGAATTTAATCAAAAGGACTCATCAAAGCAAAGAGATAAACAGGCTGCTTCCCCTCCTTTAACCATGCAGGAAACATTTTCTCCTCCAACTGTTTTGTCCTTGTTGCCCAAATGTATTTTAGAAAATCATGGAGTGAGGATATAAATGTGATTTAATAAATTATCATTCAAAGATGTAAATAAACTAAAATTGGACTAAAGAAAATCCTCACTTCAGACACCCCAATAATGCCTGTGAATCTGAACAGACCTGTGTGTAGCTTCAGGGCACTGTGCACCTTTTCATCCCCGTTTAGCAAATTCACAGAGGAAGGGAGAAAAGCACTCCCTTTGTGGTAAGCCAGAGTCCTTCGGCACCCTCTTCCTCAGAAGTTCCTTTATGAGGAGTACACTTCTACAAGCACTTGACCTTTTTGCCTTTCTGGAAGGAGGTATGTTTGCACACGCGCGCACACACACACACACACACACACACACACACACACACACAAATAATAATAATCCGGTTTAAAAGAACAATGTGTAAGTGACTCTGAGCTGCCAAAATACACTATCAATTTCTCACTTGTCACTAATCAGAAACAACCTACTGAATACATTTCCCAAAGCATGCTCTCAGCTCAGTGTCTACTCCATGAAATCATCTCATACACGCAATGCTCCCCAATAATCCAGGGTGGACTATTTTTCATGACAGTGACACCTCTTTTCTTTCTCTCTGATCTTAGACTCTAAGATCCTAACACCATTTCCTGGTGGTGAGTCAAGGCTTTGTTTTGTTTTTAATTTTTTTAAATTTATTTTTCAATTACCATTGACATATTATGTTAGCTTCAGGTGTACAGAACAACATAGTCATTAGACATTTACATACCTCACCAAGTGATCAAGGTTTTCTAACTCCTCATTTGATGTGCTTTGGTGGGTGACGGGCTTCTAAATGGTGGGTGGGTAGGTCTCCAATCTTACAGACACTACCAAACAGAGCAGTTCCATCTGGCGGCCACCATGCATTCACTTCAGTAATAAACTCCTGCTTTTCTTCAATGCACTGAGGAAGGCTCTGCCCTCCACCCTGCTCCTTTTTGTCTCCTTAACCCCTTTCTACTCTTCCTCCAAGCCTCAGGTCCTGCATCACTTCCTAGAAAAAGTATCCTGGAACCCCTAACTCCCATAATGTACTCTTAAAAACATTACGAATATTTCCCCCTCTGCTTCTTAGCACTTAGCATAGTTGTCAATCTAAACTTAGTTTTGGTGTGTGGTTTTTTTTAATTAAAAATGTTTTCAATTGCAGTTGACATTCAATATTATATTAGTTTCAAGTGTACAGCATAGCGGTTAGACATTTACATAACTTGCAACGTGATCCCCCTGATAAGCCTAGTACCCACCTGGCACTATACATAGTTTTTACAATATTATTGACTATATTCCCTATGCTGTACTTTATATCCCCGCGACTACTTTATAGCTGCTAATTTGTGAACTTAGTTTTGGATTAATGTGAGTGCCTCCTCCGGTCTCCTCAAACTAGACTCTAAACTCAGTGACAGCAAAGCCCAGGCCTGTCCTGTGAACCACAGCATCCGCTGTGCTATCTGCCATGACCTGGCAACTGTTCAATCAATACTTGCTGTGTGATTCAACAAGCGGGTTGAGCAGAATATGTTACTGCTCCTAACATGCAATATTTTCTATATCTTTAAAAGGCTGGCCACAGCTACAGCTAGTGAATGGCTCAGGAGGATGTTCTGGACGTGTAGAAGTTTTCTACCATGGCCAGCGGGGCAGGGTTTGCGATGACCGCTGGGACCTGCACGACGCTGACGTGGTGTGCCGGCAGCTGAACTGTGGGCATGCCCTGGCAGCTCCTGTGGAGGCCCACTTTGGTGAAGGTGAAGGCAAGTTTCTGCTGGATGATGTGGACTGCACAGGAAGGGAGAGTTCTCTAGGACAATGTCCTCACGCCGGCTGGTCCCTCCATAACTGCGGTCCTGGAGAAGATGCCAGTGTCATCTGCTCAGGTAATGGCCACCTCTCCCTCCCAGGATGCACATCTCATTATCCCACTGTCATCACCACCAATCTCACATCGGGACTTGCACCTATGTTATTGTAGGCCATCTCTGACCACTTTTGTGAGCCAAAAGGACAGAGTCACTGGGAATCTGAGAGCTTCAACTTGAGCTCGGGAATTTCCTAGCCACGAAATGTTGAAATGGATTTTGCACAGAGAAAAATAGTGGGAGATATTGGTGGTTCCATTACAAGGAACAGATCTCAAAATAACCGGTGGAAACACAATATAATAGTGGCATTCATCACTCTCTGAGGGTATCTTACCTTTCCTCAGAGCACTGTGAAGAACTGAAAGTTTGCAGTCTAATGAAGGTGGAAAAATGAGGGGTTTATAAATTAAAACAGCACTGACTGTTGTCCTGTGGATTGTGAGCTCTGGCCATGTATTGCTAATCACAAACCTCTGACCAATTAGTAATTATCACGGCCATCGTAGACCAGGCTTTCTCAGCCTCAGCTCTGTTGACATCTGAGACCACGTAATTCTTCGTGGTGGGGACTGTCCTGCACATGCACTGTAGGCTGGTTAGCAGTGTCCCTGACCTCTGCCCACTGAATGGCAATCAAAAATGTCTTCAGACATTGTCAAATGTCCTTTGGTGGGACAAACTGCCCCCTATTGAGAACCACTGGTCTAGATATACAAATGAATTTCCACCAAGCACGTGACTAATATACAGAGTACTACCAATGCTAATGACATAATGTGTGTGCCAATGGCCAAGGGGAGATAAAGGAAATAATTTAGTGGGTCTAGAGCAGTGAACTTGGTCACTTGCTAAAAATTCCAATTGTATCCAACCAGAAAGACTCTATTCACATGACACTAATGTAATTAATATGTTTTTAAAGTCAATGCAAACAGCTTAAATATTTGTGGGGGGTGGGGGCGGTGCTGGGCTTGTTTACATGTATTTTTTGTTTCTCTATTTTCCCTTTGATTTGGATGTGTTTTGTTTTGTTGTGTTTTGGGTTTAGAATTCCATCAAAGCAGTTTATTCGGTAAAGCCACTGGGTTCCACCTGTGTTATGTGTGTGACGAGTGTTTGCCTCCACCTGGAGGTGTCACAGAGTGTGCGGGGTGACACAGCAAAGCCACAATTGGATGGAACATACGTTATTAGGCACACTGTACTAATAAACATTTCTATGTTGGATGGTTAATTGAAGTCATCTGAACTAAGGCAGGAGAGTCAAATTTTTATTTCTCAGAATCACATTCTTTCATTTTAAAATTAATTTTGAATAGAAGCATTTCTAGGGGAAAAAAGTGCCCCTTTCTGAAGTGATCTTTTCTTTTCCTACATATTAACAGAGACGGAGCATTTAAAACCTGCATTGGGTAAGTTCACGCTTGCATTGCCTGACATTTTTCATTCTCTGAGTTACCTGGGCAGGTATTAGGTAGCTCATAAAGAAAAGCATGGAATCAATAGTGGGAGGGATCAGACTGCCCCATTTCGACAATCATTATTTGTCACTTCCACATTCCTGGGCCATTAAGATGATCCTACCACTAAGCTGAAAATGCTGTTGGGCCACTTTGTTTTTTTCACAAGAGTTACCTTTATTTGCAATTTCAGTCATGAGGGTTTTAAGTTATGCTCTAGTATTGATATTTTTTTTCCAATGGAATTGCTGTTAAAAGCACTATTCCTACCAACATGTTAAGGAAAACTCTAGGTAAATTATTTGTTCAACGTAAGTTCTTTCCCACTATGTGGGCTCAGTGTGGCTGGTGAAGGGAATGAACACTTTTACGTCCTAACAGATATTGAATTCTCAAACCCTCTCCTTGGAGAGAGTGCTGAGGAATCACTGCTAATGTCAAGATAGGAAATATTTTCATGTTGAATTTGCAATACTAGTCTTTATTTGATGCAAACTTGCCTTTTAGTTTAAAACCAACAGTCTACATAATTTGTCCATGAACTACCCATTTATTTGTGTACTAGGAAACTGGTTAGTCCTGCAACTAGTAAACCCAGTGGGAATCTGTTCCAGGCAGATGTGTGTAACTAGCCCAGCGAGCTTTGGGATAAGGGAAAGACGGTGGGTTTGGCAGCAGAAAGTCTGCATGTAAATTCCATCTCTGCCACTTATTTAGTGTGACCTTGGACAAGCCACTTACTCTCTGTTTTAAAAGGGGGATAAAAATAAATAAATAAAAATAAAAGGGGGATAAAAACATCTACATCCTTCACAGGGCTCCATCTGTGTTCAATGAGATCACATCCACTGACTGATAACAGGAGCCAACTCTTACTGAGTGTTAATGATTTTCCAGGCTCTGTTCTAAGACCTTTACCTGCAGAGTTATTTAATTCTGGGGTCAGCAAGTCTTTTCTGTAAAAGGTCAGATAGTAAATAGTTTAGGCTTTGGGGAACAGATAGTCACTGTTGCATTTATCAACTCTGCTCTTATAGCATAAAAGCAGACAGACAATTCATAAACTGGTGCACAAGCCTGTGTTGCAATAAAATTTTGTTTACAAAACCAGGCACTGGGCTGGAGTTGAACCGCAGGATTTAGGTTCTTCACCCTTGCTCCAGTGAATGTGTGAATTCTAAGTACTTTGCAGGCATGATTATTTAGTTTTCACAAGACCTTGTGAAGTAGGTACTATTGTGATTCCCATTTTACTGATGAGGAAACTGAGGCATAGAAAAGTTAATCAACTTGCCCCAGGCCATAAAGTTATCAAGGGACACAGCTGCTAGTCAGTTGATATTATGATACCTTGCTTGGCTCTTATGGAGAGCTGGTGTTAAAAATGGACACGTGCTTCCCAATCGCTTCTCAATCCAGAGGTCCTTGGAGCCATTCTTATTCCTCCCTTTCTTTTCCTCACTCCACACAACCAATGCATCAGAAAATTCTCTGGCTCTACTTCCAAACTATATACTAAACCTGTTAGCATCTTCCAACTCCACTGCTACTGCTACCATCCAGTCCCCATCATCTTTCATCCTGATTAGAAGAACAATTTTCTAAATAGTCTTCTACCCCTTCTCTTCCCCTCCAACACACACATAATCTATTCTTGTCCCAGAAATTAGAATGGGCTGGTAAATTGTAAATCAGACCATTTCCCTTTACTCAAAACCCTCCAAAAACTTTCTATTGTATTTGGAATAATATCGAAATCTTTTACCGTGACCTTTAAGACCCCACATGATCTAATTCTTGTCTATGTTTCTGACCACTGATAAAACACGTCGTCTTGCACTGTGTTCCCCATCAGCTTTGTTCTTGAAACTGACAAGGTAGTTCCATTTTAGGGCCTTTGTACTGGCTCATCCTTCTGTCTGGCACGCTCTTCTCCCAGATTTTTCCTCGACTGACTCCTTATAATCAGGTGCCAGCTAAAATGTCATTCCTTCGGGGAGGATTCCCTTGAATATGCAATCCAAAATTCACTCTCTCAGCCATGTCCTGTTTTATCAACCTGTTGTTTATCTCATCATAGTACTTACACCACCTGAGATAGTCTTTACATTTCGCTCTGTGCACCTGCTCTCATGCATCCCACCCCACTCCCCAGAATGTAAATTTTGTGAGAGCAAGAATTTTGGCAAGTTTATTTCAGAGCCAAGGACAATTCCCAGTACACAATAGGTTCTAAATAAATACTTGCTGAATGAAAACAATAGACATGTGCTAGCGTTCTGCCCCTCCTACAAAACTGCATGGAGACAACGTAGCAGTCATTAAAATGCTCAGCTTCCTCAAACAAAAGTCGATAACTTCCTTTAGGAAGATACTATTTATCAGGCACTGAGAGTTCCATTACACACCGCGATTTCCATCTGTCGCCAAATTTCAGGAAATTCAGAGCTTCGTTGAATGATCAGTTTCAATAATTAGCTAAGGGTTTTGTTGATTGGTCGGTTGTTTTACTACTTATTTCTCTTACATCATATGGTCATTTAATCTTGTATTTCTACCTTTCTGGTCTTGCTATGAAGTTATATTATTCTACTGTCAGTCATTTGAAATCGGGAGCAGGGTATATGCAGATTAATAGAAATGTTCGCCAAGGGTCCAGGAGGAATGTATGATATGTATGATGCCACTGGGTCCTAAGGGAGGCATGAGCTGAGAAAGCAGCTCAGATGTGGACATACCATGGTCATCCTGCTTTGGTCCCCGTTGGGAACCACTGCCCTAGACAGGCAGGTGGCCCTAAGTTCCAATGGTGACTGGCTTGCTCTCATTGTGTGGGCATTCTGAAGAACGAGTCTCACATATTAAAGCTATTTCCTATAGTTTCTTCAAAACAATCAACTCAGCAAATGATTCTGAGAGTCTGTTATGTCCAAGGGACTGTATATCACTAGGACTTCATTTAGTTTACATTTCATGTTTGGTCTGTCACATTAAAGATCTGTTGAAAATCAGTAAGTAGGTAAGGTGAAGACTATTCAATTTAATTAAATAAATCACATTTCTATTTTTCTTGTACCAACAGGTGATGGAAATTCAGCAACCATATTATCAGGTAAGAGAACATTTTTGTACTGTTTTCCCCTGAGACATTTCTGATTACCCATCCAAATACAGAAAAGAAAGAAAGAACATAATTGCTGTTGACTTATTTTCCTGGATCATTATAACCTGCCTCTTATAGCTGAGTTTGTGTGGAGCTAATTTTCAGTAGAGTCACTAACTTCTAAAGAAAATTAGATAACAATGCCATTGCTTTGAATAAATAATGAAAACCATTTTGAACATAGTGGTTTTGTAATTGTCTTTAAGTGTCATTTTGGCCACCTGCTTTGAGATTATTCAACCTCTTTCCACTTTTACAAATGATATGTTTCAAATTTTCTTTGGAAGAAACATCATCTGATCATATGCAATATTTGCTTATTGTATAAATTTCCTATTGCATTTGTAACAAATTGCCACAAACTTAGTGGCTCAAATAACACAAATTTATCGTCTTGCAGTTCTAGAGGTCGGGAGCCCAAAATGGGTCTCGCTGAGCTAAAATCAGAGGCGCCAGCCCAGCTATGTTCAGTCTGGAGGCTCTAGAACAGAACCCACTTCCTGACTTATCCAGTTTCTGGAGGCAGCCTGCATTCCTTGGCTCATGGCCTCATTTTTCTATCTACAGAGCCAACAGTGTAGTGTCTTCAATTTTTCTCGTACTTTCTTCTCTTATCTTCTGTTTCCACTTTTAAGAATGCTTGCGATTACATGGGGCCCACATGGATAACCCAGGATCCCTCCCTATTTTAAGGCAGCTGATTAGCAATCTTAATTCCCTCTGCAGCCTTAATTCCCCTTGGCCATGTAACTGGAACATAGTCACAGGTGCAGGGATTAGGGTGTGAGCATCTTTGGGAGGCTAGTATTCTGCCTCCCACACCTATTTATCAAATATAATTCTGTAATTGCTACTGCTCAGTGGCACAGAAACAGACACATCACTCAGGATGTGCCTTGAAATATGGTGACCTAAACAGCAAGCAGAGAGAAGAAAGGCGAGATAGAAGAGTCACCTATCCAAGTCAATACAGAGAGATAAGCAATGGTCGTCCACCCACTGTCAATTCTTCTGTCCGTGTCCCTTGTGGGTATTGTAGGTAACTCCCATGGTCAGCTGTGTCACAGAGTCAGGTCTGGAGACAGAAGAGAACGTGGGATCCTGTGGATTCATGGAGACGGTCCATGCTAGGGCAATACCTTCGACACAGAGACATGTCAGCAATAAAACAGACTGAGGAATGAAAGAAGCAGAACAAGTGAATAAAAGTACCAGGGTCCTGATGGTCCAGACCACCAACCAACACTTAGGGAGAATATTAAGACCTAAAATACATAATTCTTATCACAAAACACCAAATGCCTGCACTTAAACATCAAGTCTGGAAAAGAGAGGGTGTGGATGGTTGACTTGAACAGGACTGAGGGTCAGTGGCTAGCAGGTGATTTTGCATTTCCATCACTGAGACAGTGGTCACTTCAGAGTTGAAGCAAACCCACATCCTGTGAAATCTCAGGGAGCATTGGCTGGTTACACCTTTCTCAAGTCATTGTAAACACTGCCTTACTGTTAACCAGTCCTTCTTGATTACAGTTCTGCCAGCTGCCATCTCAACTCAACTCTCTCCTACAACAGCAGCACATTCAGCATCAGCAGGTAGGACTCCCTCCCCAGCACTCTATCCCACCATTACCGAATTTATTATCTCCTAAATTGCACTGTCATGATAGTCAGTAGTTCTGCCACCATAACTAGATACCTCTGATGTTCCATTTGAGGTTGAATGATTTGAAAAGAAAGGGACAAGGGGACCCTGAGATATCTGGATTTCATGCTGTCCGGCTTCATTTTATGTTTGATTATCTATAATTTTACTGTTAAAGAACATCATAACACAAGACTCCTCATTTCACAGGTTTTCACAAATATAAAGAGTAAGAGGAAAAGAAGTAGCGGTGTGCATGTGTGTGTGTGTGCGCGCGCGCGTGTGTGTGTGTGTGTGTGTGTGTGTGTGTGTGTGTGTGTGTGTCAGAGTGAGCGATTACTATAAGGGTCACCTCAAGTCTTCTGAATTTAAGAAATAAACTAGAGCATCTGGCCTAATATCTGGGAAGTGGCCAACCTGGAAAGAATTCATTTTTTTCCATTATCAGTGAGTCACACAAAAAGGGGACACCTCTTCCTAGTCGTAGTGAGCAGTGGTCACCGTTATGGGCCATTTCACTTTGTCATCATGCTAGTTGATGCCATCTCCACTCTTCTATCATCTGTAACTGCTGACCTTTCAATGATACCATCACATAATTCATATTCTGACAATACTTCTGATCATCTCTATAAGCCGTTAATTCTGCACTGTTCATGTGGCTACTGAGTCCTTGAAATGTGGCTCGGAGGAACTGAGACTTGCTGTGTGTGTGTCAAATACACACTTTCAAAGACTCAGTATGATAAAAAGAATGTAAAATTTCTCTCATTCACATGTATTATGTTGATTATGTATTGAAATGATAATGTTTTGGATATATTGGCTTAAACAAGATATATTTTTCAAATTAATTTCACCTTTCCCTTTTTACTTTTTAAAATGTGGTACTGGGAAATCTAATATAAATGTGGCTTATGCTTTATTTCTATTGAACGGACTTGCCTCACACGATGTCAATCTCTGTGTTGACTGCCTTATGTAGATTTTCTTATCTCATACTCTCAGCAGCTGGATGAGGGAGTTTCTATAATCCCCGTTTCCTCAATGGGGAAACTCATGCTCAAATAGCTTAAAGATTGTCCCCAAGGTCGATGGAATGGTAATACAAACAATCTGACTTCAAAGTCCAGAGCTTAATCTCCAGAAACTATGAGGATCCCATTGAGATGAGGGAAGCTAAGCATGAAAAGATGGGCTAACCTCTGAGTCAGGCCTGCATTTATGTTCTCACTTTTGCACTTACTTCTCCCAAACCCACATGTCCATTGCCTAGAGGATGCCCACTAACACACCAACCTCGGCCCCCAGAACGCCCATCCAGCCCACCCCCCATCCCAAGATGGCAGCAGCGGTTTCCTCTTCTAGATCCCGCAGTTTCTGCTCTGTCCTCACTTTTAGCTCTTATTCGTTTCCTGTACCATGTGTGTGTATCCACGTGTTTCTTTAATGACATTGAAGCTTCTTGGAGCAGTATCCATATCTTTCTCTTCTTTGCCATTGTCCCCAACCATATGCATGCACACGCACATGCGTGCGCACACACACACACACACACACACACACACACACACACACACACACACATATACGCAAAGACACACATACACAGAGTCTCAAGAACAATGCTCGCTGGGCCGGCCGAGTGGCACGTTGGTTAAGAGCTGGTTTGGGATGCCAGAGGGCCCCGGTTCGGATCCCACATATGAGGGCCAGTGACACTGCCCTCTACAGCTAAGAT